ACCCAGCCACTACCACCCACATTTTACAGGTAGACAGCAAGCCCAGAGCTTACAAAAAGCTACTCTTAATGATTCTCAACTCATTCATTCAATAATTAGCAGTTGCTCACATACTTTTACCAGGTACTATTCTAGACCTTGATGGTCCTGAAGGGAATAAGACATGAAAGCTTCTATTCTAATGGGGAGAGATAAAGAATAAATGAAGAAACACACATAGAGGAAAATATCAAGTCATGAGTGCTAAACAAAGAATTAAAATCATGGTACTCAATAGAGGGTGAGTAAGTGTGGCAATTTCTAAAGCAGCAACCAGAGAAGGCTCTGGGGGCTAGCCATGTGGGGATGGGGATGCATTCCCAGCAGAAGGAGAGAATGGCACAGAAGACTCAACAAGGAAAAGTCAGGCTGGCAAGCTAAGAGAGTAGCTAGTGATGGAAGTTCTCCTTTCCTAGGAAAAGTGAGAAAAGCAAAAGTTAACAGGCTGCAAAGTACCAGACCTTTCTCCATGAAGTTCATTAAGAAATGTATGTAGCTGGCGGTGGTGGCGCACACCTTTAATCCCAGCACTTGAGAAGCAGAGGCAGGTGGATCTCTGTGAGTTCAAGGCCAGCCTGGTCTACGTAGCAAGTTCCAGGTCACCTGGGTCTAAAGGGAGACCCTGTCTCAGAAAGACTTAAAAGAAATGTATGTAAAAAGTAAAGGTAGATGTTGCTGTTCTAACATTCTTAAATATTCAGCATTAATGGAATATTAGTAGGGAAGCACTGAAGAAATACTTTAGAACTTAGAGGTATTGTACATTAGTTTTTCTCACCAGAAACAATGCTAAAGAGAAAAGGCAACTGTGAAGTCGTTTAGAAGACAGTCCAGGTTGGTGTTTAAAGAATTGAAAAGAAAGTACATGGGAAATGGAAAAGGGAAAGCCCTCTGTTTGTCGGACACTGTTACAGTTTCTATAAACTATATCTTAGCTATGTTTTACAACAGTGCAAGGTAGGCAGTTTATAGTATATTGTACCAAAGTGAAGTCATCTGAAATATTAAGATATAAACATATACTCACCTGTTTCCAGAGCTACTGTTTCTCCCAAATCATCCTTTTGTCTGAGAAATTATTTTTCTGACTACATTTTTCCAAGACCTTCTCCCTTGTGCTGGAAGCCAGATTTCACCTCAGCCCCATTATCATCTTCCTGACTCGCATGAGTTGAGCAACTCTCCTACACAGTTAACTTTTCAGAGCAGCTTTCTTCAGTAGTGGGTCTTAGTAAGCAGGAGGGCTATTAATGATGCATATGCTTCCTGTGGAGCCTGCCTGCAGGAGATAAGGAGTGCTTTGCTGTCTCTAGTGCCAAACTGCATGTTGCTAGAGAAGACACAGTACCTAGGAGACATCAAAAACATTTCCAAATTTGTCTAAATTATGGATGTAATCCTTTTCAAAATATTCTAAAAACCAAGAACTAGCACAAAAATTGAAAATAGGTGATATCTGCCCCTCCTTTTAGTCAAAAGAATCATTAATTGAATCTCACACAATGGCTTTATTTGCAAATAAAGAAAAGAGAGTTCTAATATATAGTCCTCAGTATTGTTCATTCTGTTTTTTTGACCAAATGCTCTTTGATCCTCATGAGTCTACACATTTAAATCTACCTGAAAATAACATTTATCTTTTTCAAAACCCCAGCCATAAATCAGTCATAATGGAAGCTCTTGCTTTTATTGCAAGGATATATGTTCCAATCTTTGTGTCTAAAGTGTTTACCTGGCTTTTTCACAGCTGACTCAGTGGATTGGAACCTTTTAATGCAACCTACATGGCAGTGTGGTCACCAAATCTATGTGAGGTCTTTAAATTTTCTGTATGATTGATAGCATATTGCTCTCAACTTCAATCTGTTTACTTTCATGATTGGAGCTTCAAATGTAGAGATATGAAGGGGAAAAAATGGAAATGAGTGTATGCTCAGGACCGTGCTACCTCCCAAGGTTTGTAAGCCAAAGAGATTTTTTACAGGCAGTAGAAAGAGATGGAGAGTGAGTTAACCAGTTAATAAAATCCCATTGTTCTATGGGAAGGAAAGGAGAATGTTAAAATACTTAGCACCCCAGCATTTTCTAAAGTTTTTGTCCACACTGTCTTTGAGACTTCCATTCAACCTCTCATTCCTCGTGCTCCTGCATCAGCTACTGGTGTCCTTATCTAAATTTCAGAATCTGCCCACAAACCTCCTCCTATTATCCAGGACATGTGTCTATCATTCTGTGAGTTTTTAAGCTGGAGTGTTATTTCAGTGCTAAGCGTTATTACTAAACATGACTCATGACCTTCTCAAGAATATTTTCTCGGGTTACTTTAGCCACCCACGCTTTCTTGCTTCAGTATTTCATCTCTGAATGAAATATCTTATTCCGTCAGATACGAATAAGATAGTAAGAAGCTGTTTCATCATCCTTTTAAGTTTTTGCTTGTTTTGGTTTTGATTTCTTGAGACAAGGTGTCATGTAGCCCTGGCTGGCCTTAAACTGCTGGTCCTCCTGTCTCCATCTCCCCAAATATAGGGATTATAGGCATATGCTACCATATTTGCCATTTTTATTTCTTTTTCTTACTAGTCAAAAATTGCTAGGCAGGATTGTGTCCACATACTATCATTAGCGGAAAAATACAGGTCGATCATACTATGATTTTAAAGCATTGAGTTTGGGTAAACCACAGAATCTCTGGATTTCAGTGTTCTCTCTCACACATACACATATACGCACACACGTGCACACACATACATGCACATGCTTACACACATATGCACTCATGAAGGGTCTTGAGCATGCTCATTAAATACTGTACCACAGAGCTACATCCACAGCCCAGAGTTTCTCATTATAAAAATGCAAATGATGAGCCGGGCGTGGTGGCGCACACCTTTAATCCCAGCACTTGGGAGGCAGAGGCAGGCGGATCCCTGTGAGTTCAAGGCCAGCCTGGTCTACATAGTGAGTTTCAGGCCAGCTGGGACTACAGGGAGACCCTGTCTCAAAAAGACCAAAAAAAAAAAAAATGCAAATGATGCCCAGTGTATCATGTAATTGTTAGAAGTTAATGAGGTGAGGGCTGGGGATGTAGTGCAGTTGTAGAGTATTTGCCTAGTATGCATGGAGCCCTGGGTTGGATCCCCAGCACGCAATGAAAGCATGCGGGTGGCATGGGCCTATGATTTCAGCAGATGGAAGTAGATTCAGGAGGATAAGAAGTTCAAAATCATCCTTAGCTATATAAGTGGATATCCCAGAACATGAGACCCTGTCTCCAAAGAAAAATAAAAAAGAAGTTAAATAGTTGATAATTTTGGTATGCAAAGGAAATAACAAAATGATTGCATATCAATTGCTTGCTCAGAAAACTTTAAATAACAGCTCTGTTGACTTTCAAATTAAATATGGATGTCTCAGCTCTCTTTTGGATCCCCTCATGTAAGAATCAAACCCACTTTGTTAACCTTCTTTCATGATTCCCCTGCACATTCTGTCACTCAAAACAAAAGTCTTAACTATTCAAAATGCATCCTCCTTTTTACTATAAAAGATAGCCTAGTAGTAACTACAGTTAGAGTTCCCATTGTAAGGGTTTTGGTTGGTTGGTTGGTACAGTTCTGTTCAGTTCAGTTTGGTTCGGTGGGTGCTGAGGATCATTCCTAGGCCCTCACACAGGCTAGGAAAGTGCCCTACCACTAAACTACCCCCTCTTGTTTAAAAACATAATTAATGCTTATGTATCTTTTTACTTAATATCTGGTTTTAATGTAGTTATTAACAGTCCAGATCCGTAGCCCAACTTCTTGTTTAGTTTCAGACTGTAGCCTCACAGTGTTCTAAGAATGTGTCATTGGACAAGTCACTTAATAAAGTTACTTGTAAAATGAAGTATCTGCTATGAAGATTCAAAATGTCAGACTTCTAACACTGTAACTAACACATAAAAAGTCCTCAGTACATTTCAGCTGTTTTTTATTGCTGGTGAGCTTTTTTCCCCTCATTCAGCTCTGCAAGGTACTTTGCAAATGAGGAGAAAAATGAAATGGCACATTCAAAGTAACAGAACAACTAATAATTTAAAAAGATGAGACTTGAAACCAGAGCTGTCTGGCTCCAAAATCCTTGTTTCCCACTTTGTTATTTCGTGTTTATCTTTCTGCCTGAAAAGCGTTCTTCCCATGTCTAACTGGAATAATCTTTACAAGCCCATCTCAAACTTTGTCCTTCATCCAACTCAAAATGTGATCTTTCCCTCAAAATTCTTGTAGCAGTGGGGACTGGAGAGCTAGCTCAGCTGATAAAGTGCTTGTACCCATGTAAAACACCCATGTGAAAAGCCAGGCATGGTGGCCCATGCCTCTGATCTCAGCTTTGGGAAGGTAGAGTCAGGAGGATCCCTTTAGCTGGCTGGCCAAATCAGTGCATTTCAGATAAAAATAAGGTAGAGAGTGATTGAGGGTGACACCCAACATCAACCTTTAACCTCCACATGCATGCACACAGACACATGTATACACACACACACACACACACAAACACACACACACACACACAAATCCCTGTAGCGGTATGTGACTCATTTGTACATATAAAACCTTCATGGAAATCCATGAACTCTTTGACACCAGGATGAGGTTTGAACCTAGTTCCCCCTTGGACCCATTTCCCCTGAAGTAGAGCACTTTGAACTAAATAGATACTTAATAGCCACTTACATTGAACAGAGGTTGTTCAAGTCCCAAATGGAGAATTCCGTCCAGTTCCAACCAGGAATTGTTTCTTTACTGGTGTTTCTCTGTGCCAGACCCTGTAACAGACTCAGGGCTTAAAGAGAGACACAAGCCAAATTCCCCTTCAAGAATTTGCAGTCTCATGGAAGTGCCTTGAAATCAGTAATTCTTTTAACTCATCAAATGAGCAAACATTTAACAATGGGAATGAATTCTTATTTGTTTGGACAGATACAGTCGTCTCCTCTAGCTGCTGTACCAGTTTAGACTACATGGTCACCTACCTCTTCAAGCACATATCAAAAGAGGGGAAGAAGCCACTTCGATGCAGAGAGGCTGTGCAGGCTGGTCAGAGACTATTACATTTTATGCAACAAAACCCAGATGTCCTGCAGCAGGTAACCTCACTTAAGAAAGTGTTTCCCAGGAGCCAGATTGGCTCCTGAACTGTTATATTTTGTCAAGATATATAGCAGTTTTAGAAGTGTTTTCCCTGAAAATGATAGTACACTGGCTTCAAGATTACTCCCCCTCAAATCCTAATGATGTTGAGTTTACTGCAGAATTCCAAAGGTGGATAGTTCTTTCTGAGGCCTGGGAAAAAGCAAAACTGGGACTAGAAACAGCCATCCTCTGATTTCTTTCCTGGAGCCCTGAATAATACCATTTGAAATATGCAGTGAGGTCTTTGGTATGTTGGGACACCACCATGTGCTTGGCTCCTAGTCTACCAGACAACTTGCCAAGAATTGTCTTTCATGATAGTATACAGTTGGTAGTGTTTCCAGTTCAAGATCAGGAACCACAGTTCAGACAGATTAGTTAATATTCCCAAGAATATCCAATTACTTTGTAATAATGCCACAATTTTTAATTTTATTTTTATTTTATATATATGAGAGTGTCTGCATGTGTGTAAGTGCACCCAGGCCATGCAGTGTCTGAAGAGGTCAGAAGAGGGCATCAGAACCCCTGGAACTGGAGTTACCACTGTGATATTTCCAGTGAGTTTGGAACTTCTTTTGCCAGATTGTAGCCATAATAATCTGATTTGCAAAAGTAAATACTTCTATTGACTGTATTGTCACTAGTGAACAAATAACTCATCTATAATCAGCAGAAAATGTCACTGTGTGTGGTGGATAGCTTTAGTGTCTACTTGACACACCTGGGTTAAGGGAACTTCATTTGGGGAATTGCCTCCATTGGACCGGCCTGTGGTCATGTCTGTGGGGCATCTTCTTGATTATTGAGTGATATGGCCCACTGTGGGTGGTGCCACCCCTGGGCAGGTAAGCCTGTGTTGTATAAAAAAGCAGGTTGAGCAAGGGGAGCACTCTAGTAAGCAGCGTTCCTCCATGACCTATGCTCCAGCTCCTGCCCCCAGGTTCCTGCCTGGAGTTTCTACCTTGGGCTCCCTGGTAAACTGTGACCTGGGAGATGTAAGACAAATAAACCCTTTCCTCTCAATGATGGTATTGGTCAGAGTATTTTGTTATAGCAGTTGAAAGCAAACTAGAACACTGTGTATGTGAGGAATCATAAAGACAGAATGGAACAGCCATGGAAGAGGTTTGCTTCCTGGCTGTATGTTTTTTTGTTGTTGTTGTTTTTGTTTTTTATTTGTTTGGGGATTTTTTTTTACTAATATTTAAATCAAATTAGGTAATGAATGAAATTTAAATGCAAAAGGTAAGCTTTGTTTTTGGTGATAATTCAGGTAACCAGTTACAGTCCAAGGATGGATGGAGGATGTGTTATTCATATTTTGAGTAAGTAACAAAAGGCTTTAGGCCTATAACTGCTTGGTCAAAGAGTGAAAGGAAGGGGATTCATTAAGAATCTGGTCAATCTGGTTTCTAGTTCATCCGTGGATATGGGCTATTTTTAGTGACCACATGCACCAAGTCAGCAGTTCTCAACCTTCTCCATGCAGAAAGCATGAAGGCTGTAGCATACTCCCCCCTGTGCCAGTGAAAACTGCCTTTGAGTTGGTGTGGAGGTGTGTTGCTTTTAAGGATCTGAGCAATCTGTTCCCATTTATTGGGGATTTATTATCCACAGGTGCAAGAACAACTAAGACTTGTAAAGATGTAATTTCTGTCCTTTAAAAGTTTCTTATTCTGGGGCTGAAAAGATGGCTTAGCAGTTATGGGTACTGCCTTCTCTTGCAGAAGACCCTGGTTCAATTCCCAGCACCCACATGGCAACTAACAACTGTCCATAACTCCAATTCCAGGGGATCCAATGCCCTCTTCTGGCCTCTGCAGGCACTGCATAACACTCATTAAAAAAATTTAAAGTTTCCTGTCATGTGGGACAAAGAGACAAGTAAACAACCAGTTATGTGACAATTTTATTAACATAGTAATAACAAAGACTGACAAGAACAGGAGGACTGTCAAAAAAGTCTTCTCATTTAGACTTTACAACAGCCTACAAATGTGGGTATTATTATCTCCATTTTATGGATCAGCACCCTGGGGTGCCATAAGATTAACTAGAAAGTGATACAGTTGGAATTGAACCAAGGTTTCTTTGGCTCCAAAGCCTACATCCTTACAACTCACACTACTGATTCTCAAGGTATCTCAGAGTCACCTAGATGCCTGTGCAAAATACACATTCTGTCATGGGTTGAGTATGCTTCCCCACACCTCCACCCCCACCCAGAGGCAGTTTCCACTGGCACAGGTGGGAGTATGCTACAGCCTTCATGTTTTCTACATGGAGAAGGTTGAGAACCACTGGCTTAGCATGTAATCACTAAAGATAACATATCCATGGATGAACTAGAAATCAGACCCAGCATCCACCCTTCCATGGCAAAGGACAAGTCTGCCATCAGCTCCCTCCCACCAGCATTCAGCCATCCATCACAGGATTGTCCTATCAACTTCTGCAGAAACTTCTAAGTTGGAAAATTTTAGCAAAAATCAATGGGCTGTGAGCAGGTAATATGACTGTGCAGAAGAGCCATTGTGTCTTTACTCAGAATACCATGTGTTTGTTGGTTTAAGTCATTTCTGTGTGTTAATAAGACTTGGTAATCTTTCACTTCATAGCATATGTCTAAGTAGTGATATATCTTTATTAAGCATTGAAATACATTCTATTTATTTGGAATGTAAGCTTTCAGATAGCATTTTAAATATTAATGACTGGTCTCTGGTAGTCAGCATAAATATGATTTGCATTAGCACTAGGTCATATCATCTTGAGTGCCTCTGATGTCAGCTATTGGGTATAGTAATACCTGACATCATCTCCTTAGGTCACTGACAACTTTGACCTCTATTCTTATGCACAGTTTTTGTCGTCTCAAAAGCTTTTTTGAATTGATTTGAAATTTTGACTCTTCCCTTTATGAGGCAGTAAAATTGATAATTATTCAGATGGGAACTGAGCACTGAGTGAAAAATCAATTCCACCCGCTCTCTGCTGCGTATAAAATTACTTCTGAGTCTGCTGGACTGAACGGATGGCCAGAGTAAAAGCAGCAGGCAGGGGTAGTGGGAAGAATTAGCTGGACAGAGCTAATAGCCTGAAGGGGATGAACCTGGAAAAGAGGGAGTGGGCCAGTTGGGGGTTATTATGAGCAGGGATGGGCCCATTGATCATCTGTTTACATCAGCTTTCCAAGACCTTATAAATCAGCCCTGAAGAGCAGCAGAACCCAAGATACAGCCTCTTACCAGAGGGACTTTGTATTAGATTATTCTCATTTTCACACTCAGATGAAAAGTGAGCCATTGATTATTCATTGGTTGCCCATTAAATGCTGTTTTTATAGATGATTTGCCTATCACAGAAGGTAATGAACAAGGTTGCTGCTTCATAACTTGAGGTTTCAGTTTTCAAGGCATCTGTGTCGGTTAAGTAATGCCTAACCCTATTAAAAGGAATGGGTTACAAATTGCTTAACAGTGCTGAAAAACTAGACCCTAATGACTAATTGTGCTTGGAGTTTAGCGAGGGCTTGTCAGCTCTTTAAACTAAACTGATGCAATGATCCTGCAATTATTTACTGGTTTGAACCATTTTCCCCAACCTGGACATATTTTGCTGGAAGCATAATTCCATGAAGAGTGTCAGTTCCAAATTGCACAAGTTATCTCTTCAACCTTCCATAGTAAACAAGACATGAACCTGCATAAAGGTTTCACAGGCCTCTCCATATGTATGCAGCAACTTGGGAAAGACATTTTAAGTACCTCTCTTATCTGGAAATATATTTATTATGGCCTGCCAGTGACTGTAGATCTTCAATGTTTTCTTTTTAATGTTTCTTAAATAAAAGCATCTTCCACATTTTGTGAGCAGGTGTAGTTTTTTAATATTTTATTTATTGTTTTTATTTTATGTGTATAAGTGTACTGCCTGCATATATGTTAGTACACCTGTGTCTGACCCTCAGAGGTCAGAAGAGGGCACCAGATCCCCTGAAACTGGAGTTACAGACAGTTGTTAGCTGCCATGTGGGTACTGGGAATCGAACCCAAGTCTTCTTCAAGAATAACCAGTGTCCTTAACCGCTGAGCCATCTCTCAGCCCCTTTAATGTCAGAGTTTTATTGAACAACAATAAATTCGTGCAGTTCAGCAGTTTTAGTAACAGCAAATTGTCATATAATTTCACCTACCTTGGTAATCTGGTAGAGGCAAATGCAGATCCTTGTATTTCTTAACTGCTGAGCCATCTCTCCAACCCCCTGAACAGATGTGATTTTGTAAGTATTAAAATTTCATCCATTGCTGTGATAAGAATAGGAGGTAGGAATTAGGCAGTAAGAGTAAAAAGACCCCAAAGAAAAGTAGCCAGTTTCTGGGCTAAAAGTCACAACGTCCTTGGGCCTCTTAGCAACGTACTCCGTTCCAAAGGCCAAAAATGTCTAAAGTATTTGGGAGCTTTTATCTAATCCTTAAAAGATTTGAGGGTTACCTCTTTAGAGAGGGGAATGTCAGAGTAGCAAAAAGCCCCATAAAAAAAGAGTATATGAAGTTATCAGAAAAAAAAGTGATGGGGAGATATGGGAGGAGTTGGAGGGGAGGGAGTGTGCATGGATTTGATCAAAACACCTTATATGCATGTATGAAATTCTCCATAAATTATTTTTTTTAATTTCATCCTTTTGGCCAGGCACCTTTAATTTGGCTCACACCTTTAATTCCAATACTTGGGAGGCAGAGGTAGCAGATCTCTATGAGATGGAGACCAGATCTACATAGCAAGTTCCAGGCCAGCTGGGACTACGTGGAGACACTGTCTCAAAAACCATTAATTAATTAATTAGTTAATTAATTTAGTCCACTTGAAGATGCTCTGAAATTAAGTCTGTTTCAGGTAAGCATTGTTACCTTGCCAGCACTGCTTCAACTTAACAGTTGACCAAAACACA